TAAAAGAAATTTCTCAATTGTACTTCTTCCTTTAGAAATATTAGACCTGAAAAACCCTTTTGAACCATTGTGAATTCTGAAATCCCTATTTTGAGGAACTCACAATGGAAAGGTTAAACATAAGGAATCACACAGGATTACCTTACCTAAATGCATTCTCTTTCTTCCCTTATGATGGGGTATCAAGACAGGTCGTAGATCTGTGAGACTAGGATCTATGAGAGTCTCAAGGCGGTATGCCACAGGGTCAAATGGGTGGAATATGTTGAAGACTCGCTTGCAAGTGGGTAGCTCAAAATCCACACCTATTGTGTCTATGCCTCGAACTGTGATGAACATACCTGAAATACCCGGAAAATAGTAAATGAAGATAAATATATAACTTTTACTTGAATATAAATCCTCTTATTAAACTGAATTGCTTATACTTTTTTTGTCATAGAATGTGGGACAATTACAAAAAAAAAGGAGAAAAATAACCACGCAGGATATACTAGCTTTAGATTTCTAAATTGATAGGCAAATTCCAAATGACAGCTCATTATCCAAATAACCAAAGACCAATCAGGCTTACCAATGGGAGATCCCATGAGGAAGAAAGCATCTGGTTTGAATGAGATCTGAGGATATGTGATAGAGGGTTGCCCTGTACCTTGGCCACCCATGACATAGTTCACTGGGGATGTAACTGAGTCCGTACGGTCTCTTGCACAAATACTGTGGCTTTCCTAAAAAGTGTCAAAAAGTCAGACAAAGAAAAATATACACAATCAAGCAATGAGATATAGTAATTAAAAGGACTTTGTTAATTATGTAAAGTGGAACCAGTAGTGCAATATATTAAACAATAACACGGTAAGATCATAATCTAGTACTGGATGATATGGGGGTGGAAAATCAAATATTACTATATGACATCACTCAAGTAGCACATTGTCATTGATTGTGTGATGTCACAATTTGTTAGCACAAATCTATGCCAATGACTGCTATTAACATCTATTTAACTGATCTGTGTTCAATGACATAAATGTTAGGCAGAACTATTTCTGCCTGCAGCAAGGTATTTGTTAACATTGTTTTATGCAAATGAATCTAGGTTGGAGTCCTGTTTATGTAATACATTTCCCATTTAAGCACAAATGTTCACCTAAACAACACCCATAAGCTTAGTTATAAGTATTTCATTTAATTTAGCCATCCAACAGAACACATATATCTTTGAACAGACTTAACCAAGTAATTAATCTTAAATGATTAATTCAAACTTTGGGGATAAGCTCACTGTAAAAACATAATCCAAAAGTGCAAGCAATTTTTTTATCCAAGACTTGGTTGCGGTGGGATACCATCAGCTGGATGCGGGGAATACCTTATATCATAAATGACTTATAGGAAGAGGCCAATCTGATGAAGCCGTTTTTAATGTAAAAATAATGAAAGCCCAACACATACATGAGTATTGCGGAAGATTACCAATCTGTAATATCACACTACTTCTAAGGGAGCTTAAAATTTACCAGAACTAGCTATATCATGTATCATATTGGAATTCAAACATCAACTTCAGGTTTCACATCTGATGAGAGCTGCTACATAATCTTGATGATACACCTTTCTTATCTTCTTTGAGACAAAAATTTAAAGAAGATAACATTGATGGTGTTTAGCACCATTATCTTTATGATGAAAATCATGAAAAAAAATTATAATAATTAATAATAAGAATAATAATAGCAACAAAAAAATGAATACCAAATCCTTACCACTGCTGGTGAGGGTTCAGTGTTTGGTGAATCTTCAGCATTTGGAGACTGGTGCATAAGGAGGTCAAACAAAATGACAGAACCAAGAGAATGCCCACCCAGGGAGACGGGCCCATTGAAGGATGGATTCCGCTCACAGAATAATGTATATAAGCGGTTTAACTCAGATGCCACAGTATCTACAATATGCTGAAAAGACAACAAGATTAACAGAGAAAGAAAAATAGCATAATAGAAAAGTGCCATAGCAAGAGTTGATACTTTAGGTATTTTCACTTTCCAGTCAAGTAAATGCTTGTCAGCCACCCAACATTCTATTATATTACTAGTCTGACATGTCTCATCAATGGACTCTTCACTATGGATTCATGACCTCATTTATAGAAAGAAATTACATGTATTCCTATTTCTAGTTTTCTCTACAGAATCAACAGCTTAGTATTAAAGTTGGCTTCCATTTTCCAGTATCATTATTAGTATCCACTTGCTTACCTGACAGTAGATTGGGCTTGTAAAAAGGAGAACATCTAATATGGTGTCATTGGTAAATTCACGTAGCTTAGGTATTGACCTCAAGGTGATTGGCTTCAACTTCTCATCTATTCCTGTTGCATCCCCATGAAGAGCCTAAAAAGTTACATTTCATTATATTCATATTTGCTTCATCATAAATTTCTGACATTACAGTCATTCTTGTTTATAGAAAAGTTTTCTTCCACAGTTTTCAACCACATGAAAACCAATGCTTATCTTTTAGTAATAAAGTGTATCAGAAGTCCAATCCATACCTTGTGCCAGGATACAGGTAATATTTCAACTCTTCCGATCACTCCCATGTCAACTGACTGCTTGAAGTGTGTACTCAATAACTGTTGGCCTAACTTCCGGAAATCATCAACTGGAAGAAAATTACAACATAAATTATTAAAACCTAAAAGGATAAAATGTTTTGTTCTTGTTATCAATATTGCTTAGCATTGTCAATATAATAATCTTAGCTTAAAATATGGAAGTATAATGTATGTGATATCTTTACAAGACATATAACCTGATATAAAATGTCTTGTACAGCATCTATTTTTCTTGCTTTTTGTTTTGAAGGAGAGAAATGTCACTTTCAGTGGGATAAAATCCAAGAGGATAACCATGTAGCTAAAAAAATAATTCTTCTCCCATTTGCTTAAGCATCATCACAACACCGACTGTCTAAGATCAACAAAGTCTTGTTTTGATGTTGGATGAATTTTTTCTTTTCATTTCTTGTTTCTTCTTTTAGGCTCAAAGTGAGATAATAATCTGCATAGAAAGGAACAACAATTTCAAATCAGATATATTTCATGAATTTATGTTCAGCAATAATTCTAGAATTTAGTATAAGACTACTATACAACTAAAAATATTTTTTTCTTTGGTATTTGTTAATGAAAACCCTGATTACATCAAATTACAAGTTTATGAAATTGAAGAAGTGTAAGCTGAATGTGTGTGGCACAAAATTCACAAGTATCAATTTAATATTCTGTTCTAGAACTAAAGTCTATTTACTGAAGAAAAACAAAATAAGCTATACAAGGTATTACATGGTTTTCTGATGCAAGAATTCATATCTTTCGCAATATATAATTCAACCTCATTATCTAAATCTGCAATTACTTGAAAAAAGTAATTTCAAGCAAACTTTTTAAAAATATTGGAATGTGCATTTCTAACCTTGCAGACATTTTGTAATAATGAATCTACAGTAATGCAACAACAGAAGATACTCATTTCATCATTCTCTTCATCAAAAGAATAAAGGCAATACAAATCTATAGGAGAGCTGCAAGCAAAATAAAATATATTTGCCAAATACAAGCAAAAAAAGTGGTAGCCTTACCACACTGCTCAACAGGTCTGAAGCGCAAATCACACACAGATCCTATGCCATGGACAAGGAACAAAAGATGGTCTATCTTCTCTGCTTCACCATCAGAAATGTCAAAATCTTCAGTTCCTCGTTTCACTGTCAGAGGTGCCTGAGAGCCCTGGTAAAAGGAAAAATATAAAAATCAAGTTAAATACTGCATCAAAGCTAAGGTGATATGAAGAAAAAAAAGTCTTAATATTTTTAATTTCTTCACCCTTCTGGAATTCATCAATGTCTCCAAATATTTATGTAAATCAGATGTGCATGTTTATAAAAAGAGATACTGAAATCAATGAGAAATTTGATCTTTTACATAGCCAATAACTGTAAATATACCTGAACTGTGAAACAAAAAGTATAATCTATATCTTCTAAATTAGCTCAGAATTTCATATAATAATCCTTAAATATATCTTGACATCTCTTGGTTGATTGAACCCTTCTTTACCAGTCACTCACACCATGTGAACATACTGCTGCTATCCCAAACCAGATGTACTAATCATCTGAGTGCTTTTCAGATTGGTATAGTCTCTATCAACTAGCCTACACTACTTAACTTCCCTTAGCTTAGCATTGTCATTCAAGTTATCTATACCACTATCAGCATGAAAATGATCCATAGTAGTATGGAACAAAATCAAGTGAACCAACTGTATCAAAGGAAGTATGAACCTGACATGAGCATTTGGATCATGGTTGGTCATCATCAACTGTTTTCACTTATCAAAATTAGACTAATCATTAATGTTGTATAACTAATAAGTAAGTAAAGTGATTACTATAACAGAAATATCATAGTTGAGCGTGTGAAAAACTGGGTAACTCATGATTTCCATGACCCTCTACAATACTAATTGCTGATGGGCTAAATACCCTGGTTATTGCTATCAAATAGCACAAACAAAATCACTATGCATCTCAAACACCTATCCCCTCTTATGTACATTTATAAATTCAGAATGGTACAGGTATCTTGGCATGTGCATGTAAATTAAAACATACTTTTGGTGAAGGAGGGGTTAAAATGGAATTCTCTCACATTGTACAACTACTAATATGTTGTTTTAAAAAAATGTAGATCCACATAGCTTTAGAAATTTTAGTCTTGCTCAGTTATTCCTCTTCTCTGTAGAATACTCATAAAGAAAAACGATCATTGTAGCCATAATGGAAAGATAAAAACAGCAAATTAATGGACCAAATAACAGATATGATTAACTCACATTGACAGAGATCCCAGTAGGAAAGTCTCCCTCAACCCCTTGATAGTGAAGCATGACTCGAGTGGAGTGAATCATTATCCTGTCACCATCCTTGAGATCAACCTGCTTATGCCAGCGGCCAGATAATACTGCATCCCGGTATTCCTCCTAGAGAGAGAGTAAGAATGAAGAAACTTTTTGATTATTAAAACAAAAAACTTTTCCTTGGTCTTGGAAAAGCTCTTTCCAATAAGCAATTTTTTGATAGCACATAAAATGTTACAAAAGAGTTTATCAAGAAAGCATTCACTCATTCTCTCACTAATACTAGCACACCCACAGTTACAAGCAGTAAAAAAAATGTGCAATGCTCTCACCTCTAATTTCTCTGCCACATCTTCATCATAAGGTGTTGGTTGTGCATCTAGCGGGCCTTTCTTAAACCAACTACAACGCCGCACTGGGCAAGGTTCTGCATCATCCCAAAACACAGCTCTACGCAACCTTTCACTTATACATACATCGTGCCGACCACCATCAGTTGCCAAAATGTCTGTGCTACCTGTGTAGAGACAAAAAGAAAGCTAAAATTATTAAAAACTAAAAATAGACAAAAAGACATATTAGCTGTTTGATAAGCAGACAAATTTTGAACAGTAGGATGGATATAACAGAAAGTGTGACTGAAATCAAAGGAAAGTGGGAGACTTACAAATCTTCACTCAATTAAGTGAACACCTACGCACAACATGAAGCACACACTCAGTATATGTTCAATCATATTACATATCTAGATACATTTCCCCATTTCTTAAACCCTTCACAGAAAGGGTATGGTCAAACCCCCCCCTAAAAGTCTTGTGTTCTTGAACTATAATAATCAAATGCAAAGAGAGCAAAGAACAAAGGCTACTAGCACAGACCCCTTTTTCTCCTTCTTCCCCATTTTGATTACACATACACACATCTCCCAAGAATTCACATTCAATGGTGCTTTCTAATGAACTCATTTCACTATCTATTTGTCCATTCTCAATATTTTACAAGAAGTATGTAAGATGCTTTCAAAATATTTCTTAGATACAAAAAATACATTCAACCTTCTCTATAAAATGAAACCACAAAATCGAAATACCATATAAGATGTCACGGCTCTACTCTTGGAACTAACCTGTTCGATGAGCATCTTCCAAATTAAAGGAATCTGTAAAGCTGAATGGCTTCCATATGGGAGGCTGGCCAACTGCATAAAACCAGTGATGCATCACTGGGTGGTACATGCCATCCTGACTTGGTGGATTACTAGCCTATAATAGGAAAGTCCAATGTTAATAAGGTTTTTGGCACACTGTGGATGAAAATCCCATTGATTCAATTATGAATTTTACCATTTACCAGCAACCTATTAAACAGATATCATTATACCTAACCCTTACAAACTGGATGATGTGACCAAGTCATAATAAAATTTGACTTGAGGGACAGTGATATGGGAAAATTTGGCTGAGGGCCAGGGTGATGGGGACTTGCCATCATGAAAAAGACTTGCCATGAGTGCACAAAGCTCTTAAAGGGTGATTAGAGTCAATGGGCATTTAGGAAGGGGCTTTTACTTTATTTCCATCAATAAACAAGTGTGGAATGTACCATCTGTCAGCTATGAATGGAAGAGTGCCGGTTCCAGAGAGGACACTATTTCCATGTTCATGCTCATATTACGGCCTGCCATGATTGGCAGTGCAGTTGGTATTACAGCGCACGCACGCACGCACGCACGCACGCACGCACGCACGCACACGCACGCACGCACACACACACACACACACACACAACCACACACACACACACACACACACACACACACACACACACACACACACACACACACACACACACACTACACACAAATAACAAACTGTTATTATGATTGCACTAAGTTATGGACTACCTTGAAAGATGATATACAGTCTATGCAAGGAGAATAGTCTATTACTATCTGCATAAAGCAAATCAAATAACAAATATTGACATTGGAAAATGGCAAAGAAGCTAAAAATGCTTATACAGAAAAAGAGAAAATAACAATGTAAAAGGGAGGCATGGAGTCTTGTCACTGCTTACGAGTGTTCGTATGCACCTGGCCTACAAGCCACACAGCCGTCAGAGTGACCATTTAAGTAAGCCTAATGCCTGTACTTAGGACCACGTGATGGCAGTGAAACATCCAGATCCAATAAGTTAATAATTTACCAAACTATTAATAAATAACTACATAGATTACATATATAAATAAATTTATCTTTTTAAAAATAATTTTGTCATATATGACAATTTTTCAAAACTGAGTTTTTCAGATACACATAATAACCACATAACGACACACAAAAAGCATGCCTGTAAATGCATATAAATAGAACAAAGACATCATTCATCTGTAAAATGTGCACAAGCTCAAAATTGATTCCTTCAGAAGGAAAGAGCAATAAAAATCTATCAGGATTTACTGTATGAATAATGCTTTGCAAACATTTCATTTACATTAGACAGGAAATATAAAGACTAAAATATTTACCATATTCTCAAACGATGCTGGGATGACAGTAGCCTGTGATGCAGAACACTCTTCTTGAGTGCTTGAAGGAGGAACTGAAGTTTGGCTTGGTTGTGGACCCAGATTTACAGAACTCAGCTTTATGTCCTCTGGGGATGTTCCAAAGGGTATACTAGATATTGATGAAAACATACTATTAACTGGAGACTGATTATTAGTTGGGGATATACTGTTAGTACTGAAAGACGACATGGGTGATCCATACACTGAGGTTGGTGTTGGGAGCATATTTGAAGGTGCACTAGGTGAAAGAGAGTCTTCAGCCCCTGTACTGTAGGGGCCTCCAGATGGCATCAAACTAGAGGGGCTTTTGGCAGAATTTGCCAGAGGCTGTTGTGCTACATACTTGTTCCTTGGTCGACGCAAGAAATTACTACCTGTAAGAACATACACAAACTAAAGATACCCACACATAACAACTGGAACAATTTGAATATACGCATACAGAGCTACACTGCCAAAAAGGGTGTTAGTCACTGACTGGGTTAATTACTTGTTATTTTGTTCTTGCACACTGATATATACATAGAACAGCATAAAAACAAATAAAGGGGGGAGGGAGGGAGGGAGGGAGGGGAGAGAGAGGAGAGAGAGAGAGAGAGAGAGAGAGAGAGAGAGAGAGAGAGAGAGAGAGAGAGAGAGAGAGAGAGAGAGAGAGAGAGAGAGAGAGAGAGAGAGACGGAGAGAGAGAGAGAGAGAGAGAGAGAGAGAGAGAAGGGAGCTGCGAGGGAGGGAGGGGAGGGAGGGCCAGGGAGGGAAGGGGGCGGGGAGGGTAGGGGAG